CGCATAACTCGAATAAGTACTAGCGCAAGTAGCGAGGCGAGTATAAAGGACAACGTGAACGGTCGCGTCAGATGCATTAGCGGCGCTTTTAGGGCGCCCACCCACTCAACGGGCTACTGCCAGTAGTGCACAGGGCTGGCGCGGGAGAAGAAATTTAAATATTATTTTATTTACGGACGATTTTTTAATCATCAGTTAATTCTTAAATATAGAACAAAATTGACAATTTACAAGTTTTTAGTATGGAAGAATTGTCAAATGTTCAAAGTTATTCCTCAGTTAAAATTTATCTGGCGTTGGAAGAATCAGTCCTTACTGAATTAAAAACCTCTCCTGTTCTTGTTCGTTTAAAAATAATTTGAAAACAGAACATTTTATTCTATTTTATGATCCTTCCAATATTACGAATGCGACAGTTTGTGATAATGTGTGTATGTTTGTTAGTCTTACATGCACGTTTTTTACGTTTAAAGTAAGCGAAACGAGTACGCGTTCCGCGCTCTGATTGGTTGCTTTGATTGATTGGCCAATCAGAGCGCCGAACGCGTACTCGTTACGAATACTTTAAACGTAAAACAAACTCGTACTAAGGCCTCTGAACGGTTCTTTTTTTTATATAGCAAAGCCGGTAAACAAGCAGACGGATCACCTGATGGTAAGCAATCGGCGCCGCCCACGGACACTCGAAACACCAAAGCGTTACAAGTGCGTTACCAGCCTTTTGGGAATTGGGAATTTGAGGATTGTGGAGGATTCGGGGGATTCGGGAAACGGAGACTAGGGGGGTAATTGGGCCCCCGGTAACCTCACTCACACGACGAAACACAACGCAATCGTTGTTTTACGTCGGTTTTCTGTGAGTTCTAGATGGAGTTTCGGCACACAGATGAAATTAAAGTCTCAATTAACACAATATGGGTTACTTTTGTTAAAAGTAGCACCAGGAGCTAATTAGAAGTTGCTGAATCAAGTTTGTGTTAGTATGTTGTAAAGATATTGTATCCTAAAGTTTAAAGCAATTTTAAAAGGTTTTTTTTTCTATTAAAAACTAGAACTGCCATGTTAAAATTATAACTGGCAGGAAAATCCTATAAAATAAATTTTATTACTGGCAATAAAGTAAATCAATTTGATTTACAGTTGCATGCGTAAGGCTAATGCATTTAATTTATTAATCTAGTTACATTATGGTTAAGCCTATTCCTATTACCAAACGCCGGACATACATAGTATTAGAAGCTGTAAATTAATCAAAATTTTGACATGACAGGAACCGATATTAATAAAATCTTTTTCAAATACAATGTAACAGGCGTTTTACTCAAGTATTAACAGTAACGGACTTATAAAGTCAAAATTAACAATAATTATATTGGATGTAGACTAGGGATTTTGTTTGGGATTTTTGATTTTTCATATATATATATTTTTAATTACTTAGTGTTTTTACTAAAAAGAGTTTGTTATTGTGTCGGTATTGTTTTTTGTTTTTATTCAATATAAGCAATGCAGGTGGTATAACACATACTTGCTATGTCCTGCTTGGGTTATAGTGTACCTACCTATATGTTAAAGAAAAAAAAGACTCCCATCATATTATGATAATAATAGAAATAGTTTGTAAAATGAGCGTCTCTCGCCATCAAACGTCAAAGTTTGGCGAGTTTAGATTTAAGGCAATACCTATGTAAAATTTCAATGAATAAATTTGTTAAAAAAAATAAGTTAAATTATAAATAACATGTAATAGGGAGTATCATAATAATACCAGGTACACACTCACAAACAGTGAATAACAAAATTGACAAAAAAAAATCCGGGACGCTCAATAACCCCCCTATTCTGTTCCTAGGTTAAATAAGTACGGTTAGCAATCAAACCCTTTGTTCAACATTAGCAGACAACGTATCCTTACTAATATTATAAATTGGAAAGTGAGTTTGTTTGTTTGTTCCGCTTTCACGCCGTAACTACTATACCGATTGCTTTGAATTTTTGCAGACGTAAAGTTAGAAGTCCGAATTAAATAATAGGATACTTTTTATCCCGGAAAAAATTGATATTACCGAGGGAAAACAAAAGTATTGGCATAGATGGCGCTGTGTATATGGGTATATGTCACATAGGCTACTTTTTATCCTTTTGTGACGCGAGCGAAGCCGCGGGTAAAAGCTAGTATTTAATAATTTAACCAACAATTTTTCGACACAAAAATATTTCACTTTCTACTATGTGACACCCCTTAAAACCATGTTCGTCATTCGTCTCATGGCGCGGCGTCTAGCGGCGTCTAACACATACATACCTACATATATACTATATACATTTATATAGTAGTAGTGGAGTAGGTAGTATCGTCACGACTTCGCCTGGTAGAGACTAGAGACTAAGCCGAGTTCTAACTAAAGGAAAAGTGGAAAATTGAGTATGAATGCTTTTATAGAAACTGTTTATTACATACATCTACAGACTAATATTATACGCGAATTAGGTGTTATAGTTTCGTAGTTCTTTATATTTGTTACTTTCTATGCTTTTGGGGTATTATTTTTATATATTCAATGGGTCGATGTTTGGCTGCTATCTCGCCAGGTGGTGATGTGGCTTATGATGGAGCATACCTATCCATAGGAAATCTAGGAATAATATTTTTCATGGAATTAACTATTTTACCTCCTTTACTTTAAGAACTACAATCGCAATCAATCATAAAACCTGTTTCATTGTCTGTTATACAGTAGAAAAAAGACTCTTAATCGCCAAAGAAGTATAGGAAAGATTTTTCAAAGCCCGTCTATACATGTTACTACTGAAATTGTACCAACTCAAAAGTCCAATACCTAACTTAGTCCAACCAAAGCATCTTACTCAGAACTTCACGGTCAAAAGCCACACACGCAACCACTCGACTGAGCAAGCAGCGACTTACCCCTTTCATACCAAAACTAACGAAATAAACCATAAAACTATATGACCCCTAAATATTACATATTGCGAATATTTTCAATAAAAACCGTAATCGCAAGTAAGGCGAGCACTTTCCGAGATTACAACCAAAGTTCGGACATACACGTTAGAGATGTTATGCAGTTCCGTAACTGAAACCTATATTATTATTCCATATGAAAAGTAATAATTGTTTCGGAACCGTAACTGAATCCGATATAAAAAGTTTTGGTTAGCTTCCATTATGAGTGGAAACTAAATGAGATTTTTTAAACTGTCAAACACCAAGCGGTCACCGGTGACCGCAACCTATTGTTCTTTAATTGTGTCTATAATAACGGTACTTGACGAGTTAGGGGGGAAAATCATCGAATGTCTGCTCCCGCCTAGGTGAGGCGGGAGGGAGTGTCAGACTCTTACTGACTAAAAACCACCCTGTTCCTACTCCTGCCCTTCGAGCCGGAGCCCCGGTAACCCGTTAGGCCTTCCGCGGCAGCTAAATGAGATTAGTAATTATATCATCAAAGGCGTTCTGACAGAAACTGATAAAGACAAAGAGAAAGACAAAGATTATTTATTTGCAAAAACACGTGTGAAATAATAATACATCATAGAATGCACATTATAAGTTGTACAGATGAGCAGTGAGCATAGTTTCAACATGTTTGACCATTTCTGGTGTACAAATTTGGAATATAATATTAAATCCAATAATGATATTATAATTTATATTCCAATAAAATTCTTGGTAGCTAAAATCTAACTGGTAACCGAAATTGGTCAAAAAATAATTAATCGGTAAAACAAAAAACACTGCTCAGCACTCGCGCTTGCTAACACTTAACCAACGAAGCAGTTAAACATTACACTTTAATCCTATATCTATATCCGTATCCAGATTCGAAATATCGCATCACTATCATCCCTGCCACTATAAAGATCAACCCTTACATTACCTCCGTACGTACAGAAAGGGTAACAGTTTCTGCCTAGTTAATTTTCATGTGTTTCGCTATTTGACCTCCAAATTGATTAACTTTTTGTAGTTTTTGTTCGTAAACGTTTTGGGAGCAGAGTTCGAAGTTTTTGGTGAATTTCATTTTGTTAAGTTTGTTAGGGCTACTGGTCGTAAATGTTATTCTTGTTTAGTTAACCCCTCGAGCGTCCTTATGAGCACCCGGTGGATCATAAGAAAAAATGCTCCATGCTGCTTTCCCTTTTATAAAATCTATTATTAATGTTTTGGTTTTATTTTGACTGTGTTTGTTTTATTTCTATTGTAATGATCCTTGTTTTCGTGTGCCAATGGCCAAATAAATGCATTTTCTTTCTTTATTTCTTTCTTTCTCCAAATGTCACGTGTGCACCCGTTGAATCATAAGGAACGTGGAAGCTCGACGGGTTAAAGTAACTACTTTATAGAAAACTCACAAGAAAACGGCAGTTAAAATATTGGGATTATTTTCTATCATACTTTTCTAGTAGGTTTTGCATTTATAGGAAAATGTCAGTAAGCTGAAATTACATTTTTGATAAATCTAAAGCACAAAAAGGCTTGATCGAATCCAGTATGGAAAAGCTCTTTAAACAGACGTGTCACGCCATCTATGTTGGTGCTAAGTCAACGTATTTGTATAAGTCATTATATTATTATATAGATGGCGTTGCTTGCTTTCATAGACTAGTTCATACTTCAGGATACAGGTGTCGCTGTTACATTTTATGTCGAATGGGCTATTATCAACAAAATTCCTTGTTCCTGGAATATTTTTGTGTTAAGGTGAAAAACAAATGGTGTATTACGTGATTATGTCTTTAGAACTAAATTTTTCAATGATTATTACACTCACTTATTCATTATTGCACATTATAATGACATTTTGCTGCCCGGATGATATCCAGAATTTGCAAATTCATACCTTTTTCGTGCCGGCGCCAAGATTAACTTTGTACAGCAAAATAGGCGTTCTCAAGCGTTGCTAACTTCATGTCGATGATATAATCTATTGAGGCAGTCCTACAAACGGAGATATAAAGGTGGAAGCAATACTCACGAGCTGCATGCTGAGTAGTTTGACGACGTATATGGCGGCGCGCGTCGACAGGAAGTACCGCGCGCTCATGGTGCACGAGGAGACCGCGCGGCACATCGCCACTACTGCAGTGTTGAGGGCTCTACGGGTCAACATTGTTATCCGTATTCATTTCTATGGTTCAAGGATTTAGTACGTCATAACTGTTTGACGACGCCACTCAACTAGTTTCAAGCAAAGGTATGGGCTCATAATCTTGATCATCAGAATAGTTTACCTCGGCAAACAATTACTTGATGTTACGTATAGATATGTTATACTTTATCTCAATACATGGCTTTTTAATTATTCAGAGAATGGAAGTAAGCAATAAATACTGTTATAGTTACGCTATAGTAACAGTACATCTAAATATATCGTTAAAATTAATCGTTATTTTAGCTGTACTGAAAGGTAACTAAAAATGAAATAACACAGAACTCAAACGACGATATATCATTAAGAATGCTTATTGATTGGATACAAGGACGAGTAGGGGGAAGGGGGAGGGGAAGCGGGGGGGACGGGAGGGTGAGCGGGAAGGGGTATGTGTGAGTTCAATTACTAAAAATTATGCGTTACTTGGTAGTAAACTGCGGCGTGATATCCTCGCGGTCGCAGGCGATACACAGCATCTCTCCAAGTACTTTGAGAAGGTGGATCTTGTGGAGCGAGGTCCTGTCTTTAGGCGTCTGGAACAAGGAGGTAATAAATAATAAACGCTAATATAATAATCATGTATATGTATAGCGGTCCCTATTAAAAATGGTTGCTAATGCAAAGAGTTAAAGTTTTCCCTTATTGAGTTTTCCTATTCTCCTATAGGTACTTGATTTCATTTAGTGTACTATGACTTTTAGTATTTAAACTTGCTTTTTTATAAAATAGGAGGCAAACGAGCAGACGGATCACCTGATGGTAAGCGACCAGCGCCGCCCATGGACACTAGAGGAGTCACAGGTGCGTTACCGGCCTTTAAAAAGGAATACTCTCTTTTCTTGAAGGTTTAAAGGTCGTATCGGTTCGGAAATACTGCCGACGACAGATCGTTGAGTTGTAGCGATGGTAAAATTGTGTTAAAAATTATTATTATTTCATCATTTTGTAACGTTGTACCTTGTTGCCCTAAAAATAGCTTCGAAACCATATAAATTATAAATAATTACAATAGATTATTCTAAAACTATTATTAAAATACACTAAATAAACAAATAGAAACACATCTTACTACTTACTAATTTAAAACGCATCAAAATAATTAATTTTATATAAAAACATTACGGAACCCAATATTAATTGTTTACGCAAAGGTCCTCGCTTCTATTGCGCCTACGCATCTCTAAACGAGTTAATAACTAGTCGTGTCGGCTCGTCTCGGGCGCATTCGTAAAATCCAACGAACAGTCAACTTAAAGGCATCAGAGGTGACGGCTGTGTCACTCGATCGCGGACGACCTACGTTGCAAGATCGTACTTACCTACCTAATTAAATCTACCTTAAATCAATTATATAAATTGTAATCGGAATCCCGCTGGGGATTCATGTTCTACGATTAACCTCGCATCGCAGCCATCTACCTGGCGGATTTATATTCTACTATTAACCTCGCATCGCAGCCATCTACCTGGCGGCGAGTGGAAGACCAGACCTCCTTCTACCTGGGAACTACCTAGGCCCTGCTGAAGACCTGGAAGGCATTTGGAACGAGACCGGACCGCCTGCAGAGCTACTCCACGGTTCAGGCCAGTGTTCTCAGCGTACCTATTACCCCGAACCTGGACGTGATTGGGGCAACAGATATTTGGCAATAATAGAGTGAACTACTTCTAAAAAAAAAAAAGTGTACTTTATTTGGACCCCTACCTACCTACCTGCCGGCCACCTGACTCCTACAGGAGCTAAGTTGCCGCAATTTATACAATTAATTCTTATCTTAATAGGATTTTATCACTACTGTAATAACTTTAAACATGGTTCCTTTCCTATATCAATTATAAAGTCTTAACCTGTCGCTTTAAAAAAATAAGGTTATCGTTATATCAATAAGAGACACCACAGAAAACATCAAATATGTATACTCACCATTTTAGCGCACTTCTCAACAGTTCTATGCACTTCATTTAATTGTTTCTCTAAGCTTTGCATATCAATCATAGTGCGAGGTTTCTCATTCTTCCCCGAACTCTTACTCATATCACTTAGAGAAGAACAGACTGAACTAGTCTTACTCAACTTGGGTTTATCTTTGTCACTCTTCTTCTTCTTCTTTTTACCACTAGAAGTTGACTCATTCTCTTCACCTTTGATCTCTTTTTCTGCTGCTTTATTATCATTTTCTTTTTCAACAACTTTATTATCTTTTTCCTTGTTCTCTTTTTCTTCTCCTTTATTCTCTTTATCTACTCCTTTATTCTCTTTATCTACTCCCTTTTTCTCTTTCTTTACTTCCTTCTCTTTTTCTTTAGACTCTGATTTGTCTTTATCCTCCTTTTCCACCGTATTCTTAGCTCCTCCGTTGATAATAATTCTATGTCGTTTCTTAGTTAGTGGATCGAAGCCGTTCTCTTGAGTAATGTTTTCATTTTCAATAGTGAATGTTATAGGGTGTTCTAAGAATGGTTCGAGTGTGTGTGACAGTTGGTGAATGACTTTACATACTTTTGTTGTGGTTGGTGATATAACGTCTACTAGGGACGCATCGTCTATTATTACCGTGTCGTTGCTCCTGTGGAGAGAGGTTTAAGGATTAGAAAATAGTATTGTCACATAACGTAATTGGAAACTCCGTATTTTAATCAGTAAGTTAATTGACTGTCTCGTTGGCCGTGTGGTCGAAAGTTCGACTGCCTGGTCGAACAAAGTATTAATGTGTTTTAAAAAAATCTCAATAATAGCACGGAGTCTGGAATATGGCAATAGGCTCACCCCCTATTACATGGCATTAACTTAACATAAATAGTGAAAAGTGGGTGATACATTATACAGTTGCATTAAATGCCGTAATGTGCACCTCTGCTGCGTTATGTATGTTAAAATAGTAGTAATAGTAGAAAATAGACATAACATAATTGAAAACTCTGTATTTTAACACGTTAAACGCCACGGAGGTCACGGTGACCGATGATAGCGGAGAAGTTGCCTTCAGCAATTTTCTATTGGCAGTTTAAAGGCTTAATCAGTAAATTAATTGGTAACTTTGTACTACAGGTAAGTTTTTAAACGCATTTTGATAACTTAAGTCGAAACCTCCCACTAAGTCACAGTCGAAGCATTTACATATTTCAATTAAACCATAATTTAGTACTTTTCAAACGTCAACAAATACAGAATAAATAATAATCTGTTAATCTGTCCGTGAGTGAAGCTAAGTGCTCGTTCCAAAATGCAAATTCGAGAAGAACAAGCAAAAAACTCTATTTGTATACTACTTAATGTTTTTTAACCTGAAATCAAGTTAGAACGCTTTTACCTGACAATCGCATACTCAACTAAGATAGCAAAAAGATACACAATCTTACAGAACCATTTTTAATGGAAAATAACTAAACATATAAGTAGCACAAAGTAAAAAGAAATATAAAGCGAACTTACGTAGTCAACAACTTCTGCTTAACTTTCCTGGCTTTCTTCTTGATAGCCTTCTGCTTCTCTCTGTCCTTTCTCTCTTGTTCTAAACGCTGAGTTTCTTCTTGTAACTCCTTCTCTTCTTTGGACATTTGATCTTGACTTTCGGACGTGGTCTGGGGGATGGAGAGTAATTTGGTAAGTTTTGTGTTCATATTATTTAATAACCTTTATGTTAATGATGATATTCTTATTTGATTATACGTCTTGTTTGTAACTAATATACTCACAGGTTGTCGTGGTCCAGTAGTGGCCTTCTCCCTGATGGCCTGTAGATGGGACTCGAGCCGGAGCTGGCTGCGGTCTTGTTTGTAACTAATATACTCACAGGTTGTCGTGGTCCAGTAGTGGCCTTCTCCCTGATGGCCTGTAGATGGGACTCGAGCCGGAGCTGGCTGCGGTCTTGTTTGTAACTAATATACTCACAGGTTGTCGTGGTCCAGTAGTGGCCTTCTCCCTGATGGCCTGAAGATGGGACTCGAGCCGGAGCTGGCTGCGGTCTTGTTTGTAACTAATATACTCACAGGTTGTCGTGGTCCAGTAGTGGCCTTCTCCCTGATGGCCTGTAGATGGGACTCGAGCCGGAGCTGGCTGCGGTCTTGTTTGTAACTAATATACTCACAGGTTGTCGTGGTCCAGTAGTGGCCTTCTCCCTGATGGCCTGAAGATGGGACTCGAGCCGGAGCTGGCTGCGGTCTTGTTTGTAACTAATATACTCACAGGTTGTCGTGGTCCAGTAGTGGCCTTCTCCCTGATGGCCTGTAGATGGGACTCGAGCCGGAGCTGGCTGCGGTCTTGTTTGTAACTAATATACTCACAGGTTGTCGTGGTCCAGTAGTGGCCTTCTCCCTGATGGCCTGTAGATGGGACTCGAGCCGGAGCTGGCTGCGGTCTTGTTTGTAACTAATATACTCACAGGTTGTCGTGGTCCAGTAGTGGCCTTCTCCCTGATGGCCTGTAGATGGGACTCGAGCCGGAGCTGGCTGCGGTCTTGTTTGTAACTAATATACTCACAGATTGTCGTGGTCCAGTAGTGGCCTTCTCCCTGATGGCCTGTAGATGGGACTCGAGCCGGAGCTGGCTGCGGTCTTGTTTGTAACTAATATACTCACAGGTTGTCGTGGTCCAGTAGTGGCCTTCTCCCTGATGGCCTGTAGATGGGACTCGAGCCGGAGCTGGCTGCGGTCTTGTTTGTAACTAATATACTCACAGGTTGTCGTGGTCCAGTAGTGGCCTTCTCCCTGATGGCCTGTAGATGGGACTCGAGCCGGAGCTGGCTGCGGTCTTGTTTGTAACTAATATACTCACAGGTTGTCGTGGTCCAGTAGTGGCCTTCTCCCTGATGGCCTGTAGATGGGACTCGAGCCGGAGCTGGCTGCGGTCTTGTTTGTAACTAATATACTCACAGGTTGTCGTGGTCCAGTAGTGGCCTTCTCCCTGATGGCCTGTAGATGGGACTCGAGCCGGAGCTGGCTGCGGTCTTGTTTGTAACTAATATACTCACAGGTTGTCGTGGTCCAGTAGTGGCCTTCTCCCTGATGGCCTGTAGATGGGACTCGAGCCGGAGCTGGCTGCGGTCTTGTTTGTAACTAATATACTCACAGGTTGTCGTGGTCCAGTAGTGGCCTTCTCCCTGATGGCCTGTAGATGGGACTCGAGCCGGAGCTGGCTGCGGTCTTGTTTGTAACTAATATACTCACAGGTTGTCGTGGTCCAGTAGTGGCCTTCTCCCTGATGGCCTGTAGATGGGACTCGAGCCGGAGCTGGCTGCGGTCTTGTTTGTAACTAATATACTCACAGGTTGTCGTGGTCCAGTAGTGGCCTTCTCCCTGATGGCCTGTAGATGGGACTCGAGCCGGAGCTGGCTGCGGTCTTGTTTGTAACTAATATACTCACAGGTTGTCGTGGTCCAGTAGTGGCCTTCTCCCTGATGGCCTGTAGATGGGACTCGAGCCGGAGCTGGCTGCGGTCCTGCTTGTCCCGGATGCGCGAGCGCAGTGCGTCGGCCTCGAGCTCGGCGGCCGCGGCGAGGGCCGACAGACGAGACTTCACGCCTTGTGCCTGGGGATACCACATAACTATACACCATCGGCCGAAAGATGACAAATACTTAACAAATTTTTCCCTTCTTTCTTTACGTATATACAGAAACACACGCTTGTCTCATCATAGTAAACAGAAACTACAGAGCCCCACTTAATACGATTATTACATACTTTTTAATATCATCGTTTAGTATAAAATTACTTTCTAGTGGCCAAAACGAAGAAAATATTATGATGAAAAGGAGAAAAAAAGCAGTTTATTTGCACTGTTACAAATTATGAACTGACAAATATTGAAATTAACTTTTTTGTCGGTAGATTTTTAAAAATAAATTAAGCATAAATTTATTTATTGGTATACACAAGTTACATTACATGTAGACATGGAAGCGAACAGCATTCACATAAATGCAAACACGGCAGAGGTGCCCGTGGGCTCCAAACTAGGCATATTTGCCTACTAAAGATAGAAATTGGACATAAGTTCCGTACAAAATTTGTTAGTGACCGTCTATAATACCACGCCTGTTTCGCTTCATGAGACCAATTCACACTAAGCCCCTCACCACGACACCACTTCACACTAAGCCCCTCACCTTCTCCCTCGCCGCGTCGTCCCTCTCCTGTTTCTTGAGCTCCTTGAGTTCCTCGACGCGCGCGTCCCGCTCCTTCCTCCTCTCGAGCAGAGTCTCGACGTGCAGCTTCCTGGCCGCCTCCAGCGCCTGCCGCCGCGCGCCCACGGCCGCCTCGCGCGCCGCCTTCTGCTCCTGGGGGGGGAGACTTGCTGTATTCTGTTTCTTACGTATAGGTAATCTACATTTGGTTTTTTTATGACCAGAGGCGTTACAAGTGCATTACCGGCCTTTTGGGGATTCGGAATTTGAGGAATATTGGTAATTTACGAATTGAAAGGGGGGGGGGGGGTAGTAGGGCCTCCGATAAACTCAATCACACGAAGAAAAAAACGCTTTACTACACTTTTCTTCTCGTTGATGGTATCACTATGGTCAATCCAGCCCAGTAGTGTCGAAGCATGGCTTTCCCGCACTTATAAACAAAAGTTAGCATTGCGAGCAAGCATTATAAAATTTGTTTGCTTATCTGTTTAAGAAGAGTATAACAAAAATATGATTAGAAGAGTTTACTACGGAGTATTGATTCAGTAAATTTGTTGCGTTTTACATGCACATAGAAATTCTTGAGTGATTCTTCCTGGGCTAAGTAACAAAATCAATAAATATTTCATTACTATTAATGAAGTTTTAAATGCTAACCAACATTCCATATTTAAAAAAGTACAGTGACCTGCAGCTATAGCCAAATGCCATTTAGCGCTTGTCTACATGTAGAGTAGAAAACTATGGGATTGACGTAAATTTTGACACTTATCAGTGTCATCCCCATACATTTAGTTTTGTACTCTCTCTGTAGACAAGCGCTAAAGTGGCGTTTGGCTAAAGGTGCTGAAGTATCTTAAAACCGTGACCAACGGTGATACCATGCCTAAATGTGACCCCACAGTAACGTAGTTACAAACTGAGTATTATAGCACTGCCTTGGCTGAGTTAACTATCATAATAAAGAAAGTTCGTCGAATCTGTCTGTCAATTCGTTCAAAACTCAAAAAGTACTACCCCAATTGATGCAGTTTTTTTAACAATCTTCAAAAAAGGAGGAGGTTTTAACTTACCAGTTTGGAGAGTCTATCTCTCCTCATCTGCCGTAGCCGCGTGGTATGCGACCGACACTGGTCCAGGAACTCATGTCGTCTGTTCTCTGCCTCCAACTGCTTAATGAAAGCTATCTCTCGGAGTTTTTCTTCCTCATCGTGGGCCTTGCGTACTATGTCCTGGGGAAATGGAGGAGTGGGTAATATAATAATGAACAATAATAATATCATTTATTTAAAGTAAATGTTAGTAAAACTTACATCTAAAGTCAAAAGTCTAAATCATTTATTTCAATTAGACCAGGAAGGCACTTTTGAACGTCAAAACAAAATATTTAAATCCTTACTATTATATCTTACTTACCTTTATAAATGGGAAAGTGAGTTTGTTTGTTTGTTTGTTCCGCTTTCACGCCGTAACTACTAAACCGATTGCTTTGAATTTTCGCAGACGTAAAGTTAGAAGTCCGGATTAAATAATAGGGTACTTTTTATCCTGAAAAAATTTGATACTCCCGAGGGAAAACAAAAGTAATGGTATAGATGGCGCTGTATGTATTGGTATATGTCACATAGGCTACTTTTTTTTTCTTTTAGTGACGCGAGCGAAGCCGCGGTTAAAAGCTAGTATTAAATAATAAGAAAAATTGTCAGTCTGTAGGTCAGTCCTCTAGTGAGGCTATTTGTTCGTTCCAAGGTGTAGATTCCTATGGAGAAGAACGAGCAAGAAACTATGGAGTTTCTACATAACGTACATAATAATTTAACTTTGACCTATCATGTAATTATTTCTTCCTCAAGCAGCTGGCAAAAGGAAGAAACAAGAGAAATAAAACACTGTGTTCTCGCTTACCTTGAGATGTTGATCCCTGTTTGCAGCTGCCTTCTGAAGTCGTCTCTCCATGCGAAGCCTCTTCTCTTCTATCAACTCATTCTTCGCGATCTGGGAAGATTAAATATGAAACATAAATTATTGGGTTCATCGACTCTAGCAATACGGTTTTTATCAATTAAGTCAATTACATAAAATAACTCAACATAACATCACGCCTTTTATCCCCGAAGGGGTAGGCAGAGGTGCACATTATGCCACTGTACAATGTGACATCCACTTCTCACTATTTATGTTATGAGTCCCATGTAATAGCGGGTGAGCCTATTGCCATATACCGGGCACAATTCCAGACTCCGTGCTACTACTGAGATTTTTTTTAAAAACCCAGTATTACTTTGCCCGACTCGGGAATCAAACCCGAGACCCTTTGCCCGGCAGTCGCACTTGCGACCACTCGGCCCACCGGTTTCTCACGTGAATATACTAAGTAAAGCTCTACTAGTTTCGAACCACAGAGGGGTTCTTCCTTACGAGCAGCGTGCGCGGTCGCGCAGCTTACTCATACTAGTAGAGCTTTTCTCAGTATATTCACGTGAGAAACCCGCGATTTTAGTTAATTTAGTAGGTGTCACGATAGTTATTATATTATGTACTTTCTTGGTCGGCTCTTACGACATCACACAGAAAAGGTAGTGATGGTGACAAATTGATTCTTATATTTACTGAATTTGATTATAAATGCTTCCAAACTAGTGAATAGGTTGCTTATAGGTCGACGTGCTCCATCGTAGACCGCATCATTGCTTACCACCAGGCGAGATAGTGGTCAAAAGTCGGCCTATCAAATATATATATTAAGTGTAGGAGAGCCACGCTTCGGCACGAATGGGCCGGCTCGACCGGAGTGATACCACGGCCTCACAGAAAACCGTCGTGAAGCAACGCTTGCGTTGTGTTTCGTCGTGTGAGTGACGTTACCGGAGGCCCAATTACCCTCCCCTTCCCCAATCTCACCAATCCCTAAATCCCCATCGATCCTCAAACTCCTAATCCCCAAAAGGCCGGTAACGCACTTGTAACGCCTCTGGTGTTCCAGGTGTCCATGGGCGACGCCGATTGCTTACCATCGGGTGGTCCGTCTGCTCGTTTACCGGCTTATTCCATGAAAAAAAACCTCCGTACCTTAACCTCCTCAACTCTAGCCAACAACTGATGTATCTTCCTGGCCCGTTCGGTCTGATACTCAATCCGTTGCCTCTCGGCCCTCGCCTGCTTTAGCTGCAAGCGACGCAGTGCGTCCTGCAAACTACCACGACGCTTGATGCCTTGGGATAACTTCGCGTGTAGTTGTTGAGCACGACCTGAAAAGAGTAACGTAATATCACGCCTTCTATTCCCGAAGGGGTTAGGCACAGGTGCATATTACAGCAGTTTATGTCACTGTACAATGTAACAGCCGCTTTTCACTATTTGTGTTATGAGTCCCATGTAATAGGGGGTGAGCCTGTTGCCATATACCGGGCCATATATATTCAATTCTCTGGAATTCCAGTAGTAGCACGGAGCAGACTCCGGGAACTGGGATTTTTTTAAAAACTCAATAGTACTTTGCGCGACCCGGGAATCGAACCCGAGACTCCTTACACGCCAGTCGCACTTGCGACGTCTTGGCCAACGAGGCAGTCAGAGACTGGAAAGAGACATCAATAAATTCAAAGTTAACAAAAAATTAAACTAAAAAGATTTCAATCATAGTAATGTATTCGTCATCAGGAGAAAATATTAGAGTACGTATCTAATGAGTACAAACTAGATATGTTGACTAGCTCAAAGTTCCATAAACTAGGTGAGATTTTTATAAGAACCGGTTATGTTTCAAAGTCAAAGTCAAAGCATTTATTTCAATTAAACCATAGTTTGGTACTTTTGAAACGTCAACAAATACAAAATAAATAATAGTCAGTCCGTCAGTGAAACTAGGTGAAGCTAGGTGCTCATTCCAAAAAGTAGATTCGAATGGAGAAGAACGAGCAAGAAACTCCATTCGTTACTCTTTTTAAAAAAAGTATGTTCTACAATGTCTCTGATACATGACCTTTGCATGACGGTTGTAACCTTACATGCAGCCAATAGCCAAAACTGAGTAGTATTGCACTGATTACTGCACAATATTATACGTACACGCTAGGGATTGTATGCACGGCTTTGCATGCAAAGATAAAATCGTCATGCAACCTTAACGTCTATGGGTATAAGAAGTAAAATTTATTGCTAGATTTTATGTTTATAGTATACTAGCTTTTACCCGCGGCTTCACTCGCGTCACAAAAGGATAAAAAGTAGGTACTATACCACTACTTTTGTTTTTCCTCGGGAATATCAATTTTTCCGGGATAAAAAGTACCCTATTATTTAATCCAGACTTCTAACTTTACGTCTGCAAAAATTCAAAGCAATCTATTTAGTAGTTACGGCGTGAAAGCGGAACAAACAAACAAACAAACTCACTTTCCAATTTATAATATTAATAAGGATTTATCTTAGATATCTTCACGGATTATATGAGTACGCGTGATCTACATATAAACCGCATCAACGCTTACCACCAGTTCAGGCGAGATAGTGGCCAAACGCCATGTAGTAGCGTGTTGCAAATAAAAACAAAAAATAAATAAAAAAAAGCATGGGACCGTAGTGATTCGGCCTCACATAAAACCAGCGTGACACCACGCTCGTGTCGTATGTCACCGTGTGAGTGAGGTTACTGGAGACACTCCATTAAACCTCTCCGAAGGCAGGCAACGGACTTGTAACTCCTCTAGTGTCGCGGGTATCCGTGGGCAGCGTTGATTACTTACCATCAGAGGACTCGTCTTCTTCGTCGTCCTCTATCCCATGAAAAAAATATGTTTTTCTTGTGTTTAGTTGTGAAACTGACGATCAGTGTCAATAATTACCAATCTATCTTTAAGGTACTCTTACTCATGCTAATTTGAAGTACGAAAGCGTACTTCAATGGGGGCTAACGTTTTTTTGCTCATCAGTTGGCGGAAATATAGGAAGTAGTATTTTTGTCCAATCACAGCAGCTGTCAAATATTGAACGTCCAATGGTGTGGACACTAGCTAATTCCCTATTGGACGCAGAACGAGAGGTTGACACTAGCACCATCTAGTGAGTAAAAATACGACAGCCCCATTGAGCACTTGTCACTCTGTCGCATAAATATACACAATATGGCTCACAATTATTATGCTTGTTTCAGCCATGTTTGCGTCCGATTTTTTAAACATGCTCATGTTATTTTAGAGCATGCGTAACAGTACCTTTATATTTGCTTACTAGAGGTAGAATTTTGAAATATTTTGTATGAAGCTTATTTATGTCAAAATTTTACCTGCTGCAGGCAAATCTGTCGACAGATATGGTCTTGAGACTGATCGTAAGATGAAAGAGAATGAGAAAAATGATAATCTACTTTTGCGGCATGTTAATGAAACAAAATTATGTTAAAACTTATTATTTATAAGAAAAAGCTAGTTCAATAGGGATGATGACAGGGTATGAAAATTAAAAATGTAATTAGTCTGTCAGTATGAAAAAATATTAGACACTTATATTTTTATATTGTTGTATAATAAAATGATACTTATATATAACAAAGTTAAGGAGCGGGGGCTAAAACGTCATTTCTTAGTATAAAATGTACCATAGAAGTGACGTCACGCGACATTTCAAATCAATATATATTCGAAACTATTGGTTTCCGTAAAAAAAAATTAAAATACGTGTCTAATGTTTTTAAATAAACTACCAGATGGACATTAAAAAAAAATAAGTCATCTACCTTATTATAAAATTTGAAAATGCGAAAAAGAATTAAAGCATTTTTAAGCCAACTTCATGCAGAAGTGATTTTGATATATATAATGAAAGTACTAGTATGTAATTTGTAGTTTTAATGAGAATGTTATGAATTTAACAGTTAGAGTATGGCTAAGGAAAGCTGTCTAAAACAAATGGCGTCAAAACAAATACTTGTCATAAAGTACTTTTTGAAGAATAAAAAGTATCAACTCCATTTCAGCAGTGTGTACCCAGGGTTTTTAAATGTGAAATATTAATTCTCCACGGACTCTTGGTCCGTGCCCTTGGCATACATGTTTAGCCAGGGTTAACAGGTCTTAAGCTTTTAAAATTGACGCCATTTTGTTTGGATAGCTTTCATTGGCTATTTTGTTTTATGATGAATGAACGAATGAATGTATTTAAAAAAATCTCTTACTCTGGTCTTCGCCTCTTTCTATTCTAATTCCTATTCAAAAACAACACACACATACATACTTAAATATAGGCTAATAATAGTGACCAATTTACCTGGATCCCTTGCCACCAAAGCCTCTAAGGCGCCGAGAGTATCAACCCGTTCAGCCCAGGACATGCCGGCGAGGGCCGTTTCATACTGGTCTTCTAAACTGGCAGCTAAAGATAGGTTCTCGGTAGATTGACAGGATACACCCGCTGATGCGTCTTCGCATAGGATCTCTGCGTCAGTCTGTCGAAGACGTTATTTGAGAATCATTTTAATGTTTGTTGCCTTGTTAAATTGGTTAAATTATTACGAAATCGTATTTGGATATGTTTTGAGACAAAATAGAATAGATTACTTAAAAATTACGAGGTACGTAAATTTACTATAAAAAGGTCTACTAGTTTCGAGTCAGAGGAACTCCTCGCCATGAGCAGCGTGCGCGGTCACGGCTACTTCACGCAGCCTACTGAGTAACTCGTAATTTTTAGTTAATTTAGTATGTCTCACGATAGTTATTATAAAAATAGAATAGACAACTCTTTATTGTACACCATATAATCAACACAAAGGACAAACGTGTAGAAATCAGTAGGTACCATAGGCGATTTTATCCGGGAAAGAAATTATTAATATTTTATGAAAACAGTACTGGATGTACTGTTTACTGGTTTTATTATTAAAATGATCACAATTTATCTGGCAAATTAAATCAATGATGTTGCGTAATGTATTATTGAGTTATTCAACTTTTGTAATTCTCAGTAATATCATGAAGTTTGGCGTTTATTTTTTATTGTATAGGAGGCAAACAAGGCTTATGGTAAGCGATCAGCGCCGCCTCTGGACACCCGCAACACCAGAGGAATCACAAGCGTGTTGCCGGCCTTGATTATTGATATTTGAAAATATTTTTTTTCCATTTGCGTAACATATGAGTCTACTATATGAGATACTATATGAGTCTTTCTTACCAAAGGATAATAAGCCAAAGGTAACAATTATTTACTAGCTCACCTCCGTATCGTCAGTCTCCGTATCCAGATCTATGTCGGAAACCTGCTGAAGTTCCATTATCTGTCGGTTCAGTAAATCCTCCTCCTCACACAACTTCCTCTCGTCGTCCACCGACTGGAAGTCCAGAGCTAAACTAATCTTCCTTTCATTCTCCTCAATTTGTGACGTCATTTCAGCAATCTCCGACATTTCTGACGGATCTGCCGTCTTCAGAATCTCTTTGTGATCTTCATTCATTTGATCGTCGTCTTCCAAAAATTTGAACGTAGACATGAACTCAGATTTCCATTTGTCAAAGTCAAATTTCTCTTCGGTTTTTTCTTGCGATCTTGCTAGTCCCGTAGTAAGACTTTCTAGAGAGGAATGTAAACGATTCTTAGTCAACTCCGAACCATCATCTTTGGGAGTGTCCTTCACTTTCTCACGTTTCAAAGCTTTGGACCTGGAAGTGCGAGTTTTCAGACCTGTGACGTCAGATTTTTGTCTTATTATAGACAAGTCCTTCTTTGCCTCTTTAGCTTCGGGTTTTGGTTTCACTATTTTAGGCTTCTCAGGCTTGTTTTGTGGTTGTTCTGACTTCGCTCGATCCAATTTCGAAGCCGATACTATTTCTTTCACCTCCTGTTTAGGAGACTCAATCATGTTAAGAGTCGGCAAGCTGGTAGTTGCTGATGGCTGGTGGAATCTGTTAGCCCAGTGCGATTTAGATTGCTTCTTCGATTCGCGACTGAGACGTCTGGATTTGACGGTCAGCCAGCCATCGTTATCACTCTTAGCATTATCGACGTTAAGTACTTCAATTGAATTAGCGAAGTCTCCTTCCTCTGGCACTAATGTCTTCAAACTCTCACTAGATTCAATGCGGGACATATCTATTTGAGTAACAATGGTGTCGCTACTGCTGAATTCTTCGCCTTCTTTCTTATCAAATGACGGATTAACTTTCTCCGTTTTATCTCCTTTCTCATTGATTTTAAGTGTAGAAGGTCGCGGGGGACGTTTTTTCACGTCAAGTTTAGCTGTGTTCTTACTATCGCCGGAACCCATTTGGGCGCGAATAGGTGGTTTTTTGGATACAACTTTATTAGATGGAGCATCAAATAGAGATGTCCTTCCCGTGGTGAGGTTGAAAGGGTAGCTGCACTTGCTGGTCTGGTTGCGTTTTTGGAATGGTCTTTGAGCTTTAGAAGCGGAATTCGGTCGCATTTCAACGACAGTCTTGCTTCTAGCTATCAATCTGGTAGGAGTTTTGACTTCGGTTTTGGGAGTAGTCACTGGTTTTGGTTTGGCAGCTGCCTGTGAGTACGCGGGCCTTGTACTCGGCTTCTCTGAAGCAGTTTTGAGGTCAATTTTCTTTGGATCGTGTTCTTTCTTATCTTTGACCTCTCCATCTTTCTCTTGCGTATCTTTGTCAGGGTTTTCACCAACTTTGGTTATGTCAATTTCTTTTGTATCATCATATTTATTATCTTGATCTTTTACGGTCACGTTTTCAATTTGGATGTCATTTTGATTTGTTTCTGAAGCATATTCTTTGACATCAACTTTATTGACATCATATTTATCATCGCTGGATGAAGTCTTATCGTCGCTTGATTTGCTACTGTCATTGGATACATCACCAAAGTTGTCCTCAGATTTAACTGGAGATACAGAAGAAATGCTAATTTTTTCATCAACAGTACTATTTTCATCAATGGGCTTATTTTTCTCGTCATGTATTTTGTTATGTTCTGTCAAGTTTCCAGTATTTATAGGAGCGGGTTTTACAAACACTGCATCATCAGATTCTTTATCGAGATTCAATTGATTTTCATTCTTAGCTGCATTTTCATTAAGTTGTTTAGCTAAGAATTCGTTCTCCATAGCGTCTAGTTTGGCAACAGTAGCCTTGGCTTGGCTTGAAATATCTCCATTAGCTGCCTTCGCATCCTCCTGTGCTTGTCGTTTAGGTGATTTGATAACCACCATCTTTGGTGCAGTATTTGGGCATTCTCTGGCTTTACCTATTTCTACCACAGGTCCTTTGATCAGTTTGTTATCCTTCTCAATCGCCTCTTTAGCCAATTTCTCTTCTTTGTCAACTGCAGGCGTAATCACATCAATGACGTCATTATCGTCGATTATGTCCTTAATCTCTTTCTCCTTTATGTCGGAAAGTCTTGATATATCCTTAGCAGATTTTGGCTCAGGTTTAGCAGTGATTTTCGAAGCAATTTTGTTGCTGAAAAACTCAATATTTGCTTTTGGACTGTTGCTGGAATGTCCAGTAACTCGTGGGCTAACTTTGCCACTGCCGGGACTAGCTTTGCCGGTTAAGTTAGGGCTGTTTTTGCCACTTGGTGTGTTATGTCCAGAGAGGCAAGGACTATTTTTGCCTGACACTGATGGGGAGCTTTTGACGGAATATCCTTTTCGTGACTCTGGTCGTACGAAGTCCGTCTTTCTGATCTCCCATGCGAGACTTTGTGGTCTTTGTGGTGGAGGCGTGTTGTCGTACTCCCACTTGAGCCGGAACCATTCGCCGAGTGCTTTGAAGTCACGCGTATAGTTCTCAAGAACTAGAATTACTTCTTGGCACTCATTCAGGTTCTCATGAGCCTCGACGGTGTTGTAAATCTCGCCAATCTGAGAACAATAAATAAATCCAGGATTAGTATTTTGAAGTAAAAACTCGCTTTTCGCTAGCTTTTACACCGAGAGCAATCATCACTTTAAAAAATCAACCACAAACAACAACTATATATTATTCACAAATTGTGGTTCTAAGTCTAAGTATAACGTGCTGATGTTTATGCATATATTGCAAGACAATCACGATACAGGAAAAAAGTTCAAGAACTAAATTGGAATCCACAAAAATCAATACAAACACTTTGAAATTAATCGTGTCCTTAATAATAATAATAATAATAAGAGCCCGCAGGGCACCTTGAGGCGAGGTGACGGGCAATTAATCGTGTCCTTAATAATAATAATAATAATAAGAGCCCGCAGGGCACCTTGAGGCGAGGTGACGGGCATTAGCGATCCCGCGGGCTACCATCATCCCGAGTGCTCCAGGGAGAAGTCACCGTTCCTTCTTCTCCGGCTTGCCTTAATTGGCTGGCTGGAGTGAACGATGACAAGGAACAGGTCTCCCACCTCTGGCTTGCCTTCATTGGCCGTCCAGAGTGGAGTCGCGAGAGCAGTGATCCTGCTCGGAGGGTAAGAAACTATCCGTAAGTCGCGAGTGGGCCAGGGATGCAGGAGGCTTCGGCTGGAGCAGATGATCTGAGTAGAAAGCGGTGGTAGTTTCTTAACCCTTCAGCCACTCACATTCTCGTTGCCCCTCTGTTGCTATATCTAGCAACCATTCCCGGGGCCCGGTCGGTGAGTTGGCGAGTCTCCGCCTGCCATTTTTACGTGTAAAAATTACATTGTTTCGGCAGGTGCCATAGTCATCCATAGTTCCCAATTTACCAGTCCATAGCAACCCATCCATAGCCCTACCTTTTTTTTCCATTATTCACAATAGTCCTACACTAACCGGGGACTGTCCTTGGGTGCATTTCCATAGTGCATACAGGGATAGTCGCCGGTTTGTGTCTCCATTACATTTAGATTAAAGTTGTCTAAAGGGCCTCTGCGCAGTTGGCTTCGGCCCCTCGTACGCCTCCCAAATGACCGGGACCCTGTGGTCCCGTGAATGGTAAAGACATACATAATAATAATAATAATAATACCAATTTATTTCAGATAATAAAATCCATAAAATTACATTAAAAACGAATTCAGGTTCAAAATTATATAAATTAACAAATTGACTTTATAGCAAGTATCATAAAATAAAAATAAAAATCATATCGTTCATTCATCAAATAATCAAAATAATAAATTACACAAACACACAAAGAACATACATAGTCAATTAATTATAAGTAGTCAGTTTCAATTATAAATAATCAATACAATCTCAATATAAGTCAATAATAATACAAGTCAATACTAATACAAGTCAATAAAAAATACAAGTCAATAGATAATAATACAAGTCAATAGATAATAATACAAGTCAATAGATAATACAATTCAATAGATAATAATACAAGTCAATAATATAGGTATGTCAACTATAAATATGAGGGACCGCTCGCGTGCAATCGCATCCACCTCATCAGCATTGGTGAGTCCCACCGCTGGGACAATGTGCTCAGAATACCATTCGGGCTGCCACGCACACGCCTTAACAGCGAGGCGCACCTTTTCCTGATTATGGCGAAAAAATCATCAGTTTGCGCCTCAGCAAACATAGCGGAAGCACTACAAAAGCGTGGCAGCCCCAATAATATCCTAAACGCATTGTTATACTGCACTCGCAGTGCACTGTACCCCCGCAGCGCAAAATTAGTCCACAGGCTGCACGTGTAAAAGGTCTGGCAGTACGCCTTGAATAATGTTATCTTTACTTGAGTAGTACAACGTGCAAACCTGCGAGCCAACATATTACACCGGATGGACAGAGCCCTGCGTTCCCTCTCGATGTCCTCATTGTCACACAAGTCTTCAGTCACCCAGTGACCCAGATACTTAAAGGCACTAACCTTTTTCAGACGCATGCCGCACAGAGTTACATGAGGAACATGGGAGTAGCATTTGCTACGTGACTTGAACACCATGAACTCACTCTTATTCGCGTTGTATCTGAGCCCATGGGCTTCCGCGTATGATTGGCAGATGCACATCAATTTCCGTAACGCTGCAATCGATGGGCTCAGCAACACCATATCATCAGCGTAGCTTATGTTATTTATACTGACTCCGTCTATGGAACATCCGATACCAGTGTTACTGAGCTCACCGATGAGCCGGTTCATGTACAAATTAAAGAGATGAGGGGAGCTAATTCCCCCCTGCCTAACTCCGCATTCCAAACCGTATACATCAGAATGTGCACCAGCCCATCTCACTCTGTTGCGCTGATTGGCGTACCAGAACCTCAGCAATGAAATTACCTCCCGAGGTACCTCAGTGTCACTCTCCAGCTTCTGCCACAGCCTATCGTAACACACCAAGTCAAAAGCTTTTGATAAATCAAGGTAACATGCATAGACAGGTGTGCCACGACCAGTATAATACTGAACAGTCTGCTTGAGGCAGAGGATAGCATCCTCAGTTGAAAGTCCTGGTCTAAACCCAAACTGGGCGTCGTGTAATTGTAGACGCTCTTCCAACTGCTTGTCAAGCAAACTGTCCAGCACCTTTGCTATAACAGTAGCCAGAGAGATAGGTCTATAATTTGACAGATCCGATGAGTCACCTGTTTTATTCTTTAGGATCGGCACCACTGTAGTGTACATAAGTCTCTCGGGTAAGTAACTGTGACCAATACAGAGGCTGAAGAACATCGAGAGAACTCTAGGCAGGTGCATTCCCGCATACTTAAGGTGCTCGATGCTGAGATCATCGTGACCAGGAGACTTGCCCCTCACCATCTTATTTATAATAGTAGCAACTATCTTCGCAGTACATCGTACACTAATTGCGGTGATAAGATTCTCAGCAGCGGGCACCCGAGACGCCGGCCCGAGCGGGGACTCAACCCTGAAATGCCGCTGGAACGCACAAGCTATATCATGGGGGTCATGCTCACCACCAACGCTAGCAGGAAGGCTCGACCCCGGGCTTAGCTTTTTAGTGTTTTTCCAAAAACTACTAAAGTCTTTATTAAAATGGTTTTCTGCTATAATATTCATTTTTATTTGTGTTTCATTTTTCTGACAAGAAGCCAACTTTGATTTAAATATTTTTCTGGATTCACACATCCTAATATATAAATCACCAGACTTTGGTTTCCCAGCGGACACCCACGTCCGAAAACAAAATCGAGCCCTCCTGTGAGCGTCACTGACATACCGGTTCCAGCCAGTAACATACCTACGGTTGTTACGTTTAGGCACAGAATAGCTAGCTTTTGCAGCCCTCGTCAAAATATTAATTATCTTATTATACATGTCATCTAATAAATATTTATGCTCGTCAATATTACACATACCGTCAGCACAACATTGAAATTCCGGGGGAAAGTCAATTAACTTTAATTTAGAATTACAAATACGATGATATTTGTCTATTTGATTTGTATTTCTTTCTCCCCATTTTACACTATTGCGAGATATATTACTTGATTTCGTCGGCTGTTGGCAACTTGAGCGGATAGCATTAAAATTACAAACAAGCAATAGCGGATAATGATCGGACCAATATACATCGCTGTTAAGTACAGACGCACTTAATATGGCCGAACGCGCAGCGCTCGTCACCACACAATGATCGAGCCAGCTGTGGCTGCCACTCGCACCGCACACATACGTATAAGTGTCATTAGGTAAAAGTTCCGTATCTACGCACGACCAAGATTGTTCCGTGCAAAATGATAACAACTCTGAATGAAACAGCTTACCCGGATGAGCGTTGAAGTCCCCAAGTATAATCACTGAGTTAACATCGTTACCTTCAATAATGGCGTTTAGTTCACTTAAGCACTCCGTAAATTCACATAGATTATCATTTGAATTAGTAGGCATGTACACTGTTATCACCAACAAAGACCGGTTTTCACACATAATTTTTATAGCAGCGATACGCACACTACTGCACGGAATAACGACCACCTTCGGGAACACAGCTGATCGCCACAACAGGGCCACACCCCCGTACGGTCTGCCGCGAAGCACACCCGTAGACAGGTCTACCGCCGACTTTCCAGTGAAGGAGAATGCACCATCAATGTTGCCCAGCATAGGGATATCGTGCTGCAATAGCGTTTCCTGCAGCGCAATGATGTCTGCTTGATTACAAAGTCTTCTCACACATTCGATTGACCTCGAGATATTTTTACAATTAAACGATATTAGTTTGGTAGTTTTATCTATTATGTTAGCTTGGTTTTATCAATATCTCGATATTCACGTACCACAGAGTTGTGAGAAAAGTCAACAAATCGCCGAAACATCACTCCACTTGGCCAAAAATCATCCCTCAGAAATACGTTGAGCTTATTTTTAGGTACAAATATTTTATAAGCATTGTAGTCCTTCGCAATTTTCATATTCATTTTCTGAAGGTCAATGTCTATGTTTACTTTACTTGTAACGTATTTCTTAATGTCACTCGTAGATGTTTCCTTTGATACATTGTAGATATATATCGGAACCTTGACGTCAGCGGCCCTGAAGTTCGAAGTTCTATCTACGTTACCCTTTCCAACTTTACCCTGGAAACGGTTTCTCAACCTCTTTTTTTGAACCAGTATAAAGCCGTCGTCCAAAGGTTGTGACCTAAACTCGCCTTCCGAGTCACTTAAGATTTCGGAAAAACTTTTTTGTGAGGAATCCTTTGTAGTTGAGAAAGCGGTGGCGGCGGGGGGCGCGCGTTCCGATGACGTGTTGGAGTCAGCTGTTTTGAGCGCTCCGTCGGAATGTAGACCGTTAGGCTCCCGGCACGGAGTAGTTTTCAATGTACCCTCATCAGAAAAAGTTATGCGTTTTTTTGCAGGAGAGACTGTTGGACTTTTTCTGCGAGCTACTGGTGCATTACACAGAGGGGACAAACCCATGGGTCCGCTTTCACACTCAAAACTAGATAGC